ATCGTTGCAGTGGAACAATGATTTTAGTGAAATATTCGAAATTGAAATAAATCAGATATTTCAAGACGAAGTATTCCAAGTATTCTCAAATGAAATATTTTTAATTAGAAAAAAGTTTTCAAATACCATTTTAATGGTAAGTTCCTTATAATTACGTATCATTTATGCTCACGAACGTGCAACAATTATGCATCTTTCGATAGAAACTAATGGCTTCATTGTCATTAATCTGACCACCTTAAAATAAACTCACAAACAAATAACAATATTCTAAAAATATATATATATATATTTCCCGTCTCCGAAGTTGCGCGCGTTTTCAATTTCAAGTGGAACAAATTATTTACCATTTCAAATGATATTCTAGTCCAATCCTTGGCTGAACATAATCCTTGGCTGTACAAACGCAATAATCGATCGGAATAAGAGTGAATCGTAAGAATGCAATCCACCCGCGGATCCTAATTAATGAAATAAAGCGTCTTTCTCAGGTCTAGTGTTAGCTCTATTCATTCTATTCGAGAAGGCCTTGAGAACTTGGCTGAGCAAGGCTAGGACAAGGTGGACGAAAAGGGCACGCGTTAGCAAACGACACACACTTGGCTCAAGCTCGACGCGATGAATAAGGTTGATGGTTGGCTGAAACGAGCGGCTGAACTTCTACCCCCTGCAAGGAATTACCGTTGCTCTTAGAGGCTGGGGCATTTAATGCTACGCCCGGCATAACACCTCCTTGTCCTGCCGCTTTCTATCCAATTCTCTTTAACCTTCGTGGCAGGAAATAGAATGGAAAAGGCGCCGTCGACTTCGACCGCCTCTCTCTCTCTCTCTCTCGGATCCTCTCTATCAAGCGAAAACGATCCTTTCGCTCCTTTTGGTCGAAACGTTGCGTTGCTTTCGACTGTGCTACCAATCTGGCCAATTTTGGAAATATTGAATTCGAGCCATTCACGATTCTCAATATTTCGCGCGTCTTGAAATAAAAATCGAGCAGTTCGAACGTGATTGTATTGATAATTGATTATGTGATATATTATACATTGTGTATGTAATATAAAATATAATATATGTTGATGTAGTATAATATTGTATTATATAATAATAATACATATTATAACCATTCACAATTTTCGATGCTTTACTTTTAAATGAAATCGAAGAATTTGAACTTTGAAATTTAGTTAACTATATTAATGTGTTGCACACATGCATATTAATAATGAGGACATCACAGCCTCTAAATAATAGTGAATTAGAGCCATTCATAATTTTCAATGTTTCAAATACGAAAATACAAGATTTAATTACAAGTTTTGTCAACCATATTACTACCGTAATATACTAACTTAGTAGAATAGAAAATGTTTCAAATACGAAAATACAAAATTTAATTAATATACTAATTTAATAAAATAGAAAATAAATATTTTTAGATCATTTTAAAACCTTGTATCCAACAAAATCTTCGCTTTTCTCGTCAATAGAAAATGTTATGGTTGCCGGCGCATCAACCAATTCCATCACCTCAAATTGCATTAAACGAAGATACAAACAAAGTGTCCAAATATAAAAATTCCAATTCATTGTCCTCCATGAATCACTCGAATTTTATCGCCGACAGGGAACACTCGCAATTTGTGTGGGGAGAATTTTCCGGAAAACAAACCTGTCAAGTACTCAGCCCCTGATAGGCTGAACGATAATCAAAAATAAGTCTAAGTATTTCTTATCGGACGCGAGAAGTTTCATGGTCGAAACAACGAGACGTCTTTCTTTAACGAGGACTGATAAGAAGCTTACGAGGGAAGATATAGAAAAGGGGATTGTATCTGCATCCTTGTGACTAGGTAAAAAAAAAAGTTAAACTGACAAACAACTAGTTTGCGAATGTTAAAGATATACGAGATATAAAGATACATATATGTATAATTACATGACATCTGATATACAGATTGTTCTAAATATCATAGAAATTGATTTTCATTTAACGATAATAGATTTAATTCATTTGTCTCAGTAAGAATTAATTTCATTATGTATCCAGTGTCATTTCTCATATCTCACGTCGCATAAATCTAGAAAGAAAGAATCATTGCGCGATTGATGAAACTCTGTTAATAAATTGATATAAGTGTCTTTCTGTTTGCTATTATTAAAATCTTTCATTCCATAACGATCGTCATAAACACGTGGAAATATCCATTCTCTTATAACAGTTGTGTTTTATATGAAACAATTAAAGCTAGTATTTTAATCAGCGCTTTTCTCTATTCGACGCTATTCTCTTAATTGCATTGTTCAGAGTCGCGGTCCTACAAGAACAAAGAAAAAAAAAAAAGAAGAAAAAGAAAATAGCGTCGCCATTGTGGATTAAAATGATATTCAACAATAAAACCAAACAGAAGAATGCAATTCAGAGCACGAGCGAAATTGAAACAAAGAAACGCTATTTAATTATATTCTATGTAATTATATATTCGATCTGAGTTATATTTTACAAAAATATAAATTTTGTAAAATTATATTTTACAAGGAAGAAAATTAACATGGCGTTCAACAACGAAATCAAATAGAAGAACTAAATTAAGATTAGACTAATAGGTTAATAGATTAATTAGATTAATAATATATTCCCAAAATTGTATTATATTTGTTTTTAAATTATATTTTTTCACAATTGTGTTCTATAATTCTATAAAAAAAATATAATTTAAAAACAAATATAAAATATAGAAATATAAGAAAACATAATTCTGTAAAAAAAAAAAAAAAAAAAAAAAAAAAAAAAAAAAAAAAAAAAAAATTAAAAACAAAAAAAAAAAAAAAAAAAAAAAAAAAAAAAAATTCTGTAAAAAAAAAAAAAAAAAAAAAGAAAAGTAAACGAATTAAAACGATATTTCATAACGAGGAATCATGAACCGGAAGAATGAAATTTGAAGCATGAACGAAACTGAAATAAATGAAACAAAAGAAGCAGCAGCAGCAGCTGTCGTTCAACTTCGTCTGTTCTCGCGTGCGACGCATTGATAAATTTCTCGAGCATCGGAAGCTGCAAGCTAGTTTTATTGCTTCGTTTGGCCGGAAATCGTCCAATCCCCCATAGACGTTTCCTGTTGCGCGAAAGACAAATGCACGGCGCGTTATTATCGTTCTGTCCACGTTCGAGATTGGCTCGCACGTGCAGAAAGGAGGAGAAGAAAAAAAAAAAAAAAGAGAGCGAAGGAAATCGGAGCGAAAAAACTCCGGGAATTCGAATGTACGTTTCCTCCTTTCCTGTTTCCTGTTTTCCCTCTTTTCGCGGAGAATTTCCGCGAGAATTGCAGCGCCTTGTTGGAAACTCGTAGAGAAAATTCGACGAGAAAAGATGAAAATTGCTTTCGCATAACGCGTTGAGGAATGTACAAAGAGACAATTCGAAGGTAAATAGTAGTAAATCGAGGGGTAGTGTGAATCTGAACGTAGTATACAGGGTGTCCCATTTGAAACGCAATTATCTCGTTAAATGTTTCAATTAAAATTATTCGTTGTAGAAGCAAATATTCTTTCGAGTAAAACTTATTTTGTTTTGTCGTTTGGTGGTCACAAATTTTGTCTAGGATGTGCTTTCGAGGTAATTTTTCTTCTTTTTTTTTTTTTTTAATGAAATGTATCGTGCTTCAGCGTAGTCCTCCATGACAAAATTCATTAATTTATGTTCTGTTAATAATAATAACTCTAAAGAGAAATAATAATATCTCTAAAAGAAGAAACACGAGCCATTCACTAATTGCTCAGTTTTATACGTACAAGCTGAGATATTAAAAATACCTCAATATTCACAATAAGAATCATTTATTTACATAGAAAATTGTACTAATGTGTAGAATATACAAGTATGTGTAAATATCAAGAGCAAATAAGATCGTTGTCATCATCTGATCAGTCAATCAGTAGAATATCTCGATCATTAATCTGTATTAATATATAGAACATATGCACGTAGGATATAATAACTATAACTTCGATATAATCAGCTGGTCAGTCAATCGGTAGAATATCACCAATCTGTAATAACATGTAGAATATACATATGTGAGAATATACGTACTCGAGTATTTTAAGTATCAAGTGCTGATTACTCATCGTTTCTGTAATTAACTTGTCGGCCAATCAGTGGAATATGTCAGTCAGTAACCAGACCAGTCTCTCAACAGATTCGCATCAACTGACTCGTGTAATTTGTAATAACCAGACTCATAATATGATCATTTAAAAATGATTAACTACAAAATAATTACTTTTCGTTTAGTATTTTATTTGCACTATTATTGTTTATCTTTTAAGATACTGTAATATATTATAATGAATTTTATATTATACATATTAATATTTATATAAAATTAATAATAATATTATAGAATATAATATGGTATTAATATTACTAATATTTATATTAATAATTAATAAAACTGTCTTCGTTTTCGGGGTCTTTCGAAAAATATTCACATTAAAAATATTGATCATCGTATCTTATATATATATATATATACACACATAATAGTAATGGTACTCTAATAATAATAATAGTAAATTCGTAATATTCATGTAAAATTAATAATAATATTATAGAATATAATATGGCATTCATATTTCTAATATCAATATTAATAATTAATAAAACTGTCTTCGTTTTCGGGGTCTTTCGAAAAATATTCACATTAAAAATATTGATCATCGTATCTTATATATATATATATATACACACATAATAGTAATGGTACTCTAATAATAATAATAGTAAATTCGTAATATTCATGTAAAATTAATAATAATATTATAGAATATAATATGGCATTCATATTTCTAATATCAATATTAATAATTAATAAAACTGTCTTCGTTTTCGGGGTCTTTCGAAAAATATTCACATTAAAAATATTGATCATCGTATCTTATATATATATATATATATACATAATAGTAATGGTATTCTAATAATAGTCAATTTGTTTCAATTTCAGGTAAAGCAGTACCATTCGTCGAACTGACTGTGGCACACGCTTCGGTTCTAACCATCTTGGCAATCAGCTTCGAGCGGTACTATGCGATTTGCGAGCCGCTACGAGTCGGGCAAGTACTTTCAAATTATTACTTCCAAATAGTTACAGTCGAACGACAAAGATTCAATGAACTCTATCACTTCTCGTCTATATTCAAAGTTGAAATTATCAAAATCAGCAAGTAAGATTTAATTGATCAAGGACTCTCTGGAACAAGTAAAATTTAATTGATAAAGTCTGGAGTATTTTTCTACTGCAAACTCGAAAGTCAAATTTTTTTGAATTGTGTCACAACGGGGCGAGATAAAAAATATGGAAGAAATATCTTCATACGCGTCACGCGTTCAATATGAAATATATATAAAACAGAAATATGTAACACTAACGAGTTCTCTCTTCTTTTTTTTTTTCTGTTTTACGATACCAATATCATTCACTTTCTGAAACAAACGCTGTAGAATTCAATCGACAAAACGATAACGGAACGTTCAGTTTCTCGAAACTCTATCAACGAATCAAAGTGACAGCTCTGTTTAAAAAAAAAGAAAAGAAATGAAATAAATTAAAAAAAAAAGCAGAACCACGTCTCCGTCGTTCTCTGTCTTTTGGTGAAACGTGTCCGTTGCAATCGTCCCTTTAAACTCGTTTTTGTGACATATCGTCGATCCCGCCATGTCAATCACGAATTTCGACGTGCACTTTTTTTCTTTCAAATTCTCTACCTGTATAATTCATTTCCCAGCGGCAGTATTGCGTGCTATTATTACGTGTCTCGTCATACATAGATTGCCACACTGTACTGATAATTGATATTAGATCCGTGTTTCACCAGCTGAATGTCTAAATGCTAGTCACGATTTCGTTTTCCACAATGGGAGCTCGTTTACACGAACGAATTCACGTTCTGTTATTTGAATTATTATGGTGTAACATCACGGGTATTCTTACAATTAATATAATACGTTTCTAGTGTGAGGTACAATACATTGAAATTCACTTGATGTGACATTTTCGAACATTTTCTGTTAATTTTATTAAAATTACTTTTCACAAAAGAAAAAAATATATAATAGTAATGGTAACGTCATTCAAGTTTTTCGAATTTTGTTTTAATAATTATTGTTCGATACATTATATTTAATTATTTAATTATTACAATTTTTATATAATATAAAATATATCACAATATTTTTACTGTATGAAGGCACCCGTCATTTTTACGACATCTGTACGAAGAAGATTATTGAAAGATAGTATTTCTCCATAGGTACATGTGCACGAAAGCGAAAGCGACGTTCCTTTGCTTCGTGGCGTGGATTGCTGCGGCGCTTTGCACCAGGTAAGAAAAACAAAATGAAACATCGAGCTATCGCCTCTCTGCTGGCATCATTTGTTTCTCGCTTTACTTTCTCGCTGTTGATGCATATTACATCTTTTCAATTCGCTCCTCAACTCTTCCACGCTCAATGCAAAAAAAAAAAGAAAAAAAAAAATGGTCATTCTGAAATGGAGATTCAAATACTCTCAACGATCTCAAATACTCTCATCTCCATACTCAAGCGTACGTTCAATAATTTATAAAAGTAATTTACAAACAGTTCTTATTTTTTCATTTGATGGATCGTGCTTTTACCAATTAGAAGCTCGCCTTCGCTTGCAAGATCGTGCTCCTACTATTTTGTCGGAAAGGTAGGGCCCCGTAGATCGAGATCGTCCCGCAAAGAGTAGTTTACGATTTTAATTTTCAAGTTAATTCCCGAGGAGTGTAAACAACGCGTTAAAGTTCCGTGAGCAACAAATTAAACACCGCGGCGCCAGTGTGAGCCTGGAAACTGTAGTGAATCACGTACTTAGTTTTATGTCGTGCACCAGCTACGCAGGCAATATCGTTCGTCTCGTTAAACACGGCCGCGTTGTTCTACGTCGCTACGTTTGATATTTCCTTTTTTTTTTTTTATTTATCTTTTCTTTTTTCTCTCTTTGTTTCCTTTTTTTTTTTTTTTTTTTTTTTTTTTTTTTTTTTTTTTTTTTTTTTTTTTTTTTTTTTTTTTTTTTTTTGTTAATACTTGTCCACGGTAGTTTATTTTAACGACAGATGCGTTTAATTAAGCTCGACGAGGATTTTTCTACAGATGATCATTGAAATATGGGAATGTGACGTTGAAACATCAGAATTAATAGGCAAGAAGGGAATGTTTCAACATTTGTTTGACGGCTTTGTTCAGAGACGAAATTTTAACAAGTTTTCAAGTGATATTGAGAGAGTGATTTGTAGGATGTGTCAGTGAATCGCGACATGCGTGAGAGAATGTAAACTTTATATGGAACTGTTAAAGGATATTCTTTTAAATTATTACGTTTAGCTAATATTGCTATAAAAATATTGTCTTACAACTATTATCTTTGACTTGCATTAAATGATATTCTTTATAAGCTATTTTTTTTTTTTTTTTTTTGTGTAGTATCAAAAATATATTTCTATTAAATACTCTTATTTTAGACGATATTCTTTTTGAACTATTATTAAATCGTTTTCATCATTTTGTAACTTTTATAAAAATACAAGTATGTATAATATTATAATACATGTTATATAATTACAATATATAATGTTGTAACGCATAATATTATAACATTATATTATAATAATATTTAAACTACTACCACAAAATATCTGAAAAACACACCGAGGCAAATCTTTTATCGCCACATTGTTCAGTAGCTTGCATTAAAGAAAATAATAGCTCTGATTAACTATTTTTAAGAGTAGCATCTTTTACCGGTGAAATATGGCTGCACAGAGGGAGGAGCACATTCCACAAGATTCCAAGGATAAATGAATTCTAAAAAGCAATTGTTTTCCTCAGTAACAACGTACAGTGGCATCAGAATAAAATAAAATATGATACTACTGATTTAGTGTTCTAAAGAATTCAATATAAAGATGATACAAAGAAATATAAAGACTGAGAGCACAAAATGTTAGTATTGCTTTAAAAATTACTCAGCAAGACCTCAAAATTTATTTATTACAAAACTATATTGTTACCAAATCCGTCAATTAATCAAGAAAGTTTAAGAGAGATATTACTTGGAATTTAAATTGAAACATTTGATTTAAAAATTTGGTAGAATTCAAGGAATTACAAAATAAAATATTTAAGAAATTATAAAATATTTTTTTAGAATGAATGATAGTTTGATAAAACTATTCAGTTCATTTTATTCTAATATGGTACTGTGATATCCACACACTGCGAGATGCAGTGTCACATAAAAAACGATAGTAATCTAAAATCATGTGCTGCACGCCCCTCGACGATATTTCCCGAGAAAATCCGGCTGTAAAACTCGATACGGAGTGGCGACGATAAGAAAGTCGCGGTGGTGACCCGCGAAATGTCAATGGTCCGGAAGACATCATTTGAAAAAGTGCTGATTTTCCTCCCGGCTGCATGAAAAACGGAGGCATATTATAAACGGAGAAACTAGGACATGGAGTGTCCAAACTCGTGATCAAGTCTAGTGGAAATTAAAAGTAAAGTTGTAAAAACTATCGTACGAGCTACATTAAATACAAGTTTCGAGTTTTACTATTATTATTACGATTATTATACTTGAACTTACCATTACGATTATTATACTTGAACTTACCATTACGATTATTATACTTGAACTTACCATTCGCCTTGCGATAAAGTTTCGAGTTTAAACTTAAAATTATTTTTAATTAGCATTAAAAACTATTCTTTTTTTAATTTTTTCATTGACTTTTGTTTATGATCATGATATTCATACTCATCTTTATGTTTCGTGGATACGTGTTACTACTTCGGATCGATTTTTGGATGCTTTCGGATATGTTATTTTATATTAAAGTAAAATATATATATATATATATATATATATATATATATATAAAATACGTATAATAATTATTCCAATACTACAAATATCTCAAACAAATATACAAGTTATCAGATTCGCGAAAAGAATCTTCGTCAGCCAATTGGAAAGAAAATGACTACGACGAAATGAAATAAGGAAAGTTTCACTGAATCTTTCATTGGCCTAATCGACTGAACTTTACAAAATTTCGAAGGTTACGAGCATGCTTCGCCTGACAGTTCATATCATTCAGTTCAACCCGAACTTCTTTAATGAACATTCGAAAGTTTCTATTAGACTGTTTGAACGTCCGGCGAAGGAAAGTTTCTTCAAACAAATGGAAAGATTTAAGTTGGTAATCGATCGGCAGTCGCTTGAGGCCCTAACGGCCATTTTGTGTAAGCAGATATTGACTGGGAAATTTTGTGCAAACTTATATTTTTATGAGTTTGGAAGCTGCAACTTGGTGATTGCTTCGCTCTTCGAATATCTCAGGCAGACTGCGAATGTTTACGTAAATCTATATTTTTACATGAAAGCAGTCAACCCATCGAGAATCAGGGAACAATTTCCCTCAATATCAATAATTTAAAATTATCATATTGATATTAATAATAAATTTATATATATATATATACAATAATATTAAATTTACCATAATCTAAAATTATGGTAAATATGACTTTTCTTTGCATTCCTCAATATCAATAATTTAAAATTATCATATTGATATTAATAATAAATTTATATATATACAATAATATTAAATTTATCATAATCTAAAATTATAGTAAATATGACTTTTCCTTGCATTCCTCAATATCAATAATTTAAAATTATCATATTGATATTAATAATAAATTTATATATATATACAATAATATTAAATTTACTATAATCTAAAATTATGGTAAATATGACTTTTCTTTGCATTCCTCAATATCAATAATTTAAAATTATCATAATGATATTAATAATAAATTTATATATATATACAATAATATTAAATTTACCATAATCTAAAATTATGGTAACTATGACTGTTCTTTGGATTTTGAAACTCAGTCGCAAAGGCGTCAAATTAATACGTTTATTTTATACCTTTGCAAGCACAACGAAAGCTCAAATAAAAATTCATTTCATCCATAATATATTCTACTTTTGACACTCTGTGCTGTGTCATTCATTTTATTTTATTTATAACGCACAAACCATTCGTGTTGTGCAGTCTATTTATAATGTAACACTCACAAGTAAGTGCGCCAACATACGCTGCCTAGTATGCATTAACAACGAGAGACAAGCACGACGGCTGAAAAATTCAATTGAAACGAGTCGTAAAGTCCACGTGACGTTTCGTTCACGTTCGAGTTGGCACGAACGAAGAGAGGCAGAGTGTTCACGGCTCGTAAAAGGAACATCGCCCGCGAACCACTGCCACGGGGGTGGGTTTTACACGTCGCTAACACTTTTTTCCTGCCGTGGATCGCAAGTGCCGCCAGGCTGCCCGCTGAATTTATGGTTGCTCGACAAACCAGCCTGTGAAAAAGCTGCCGGGGGATCGTCTTTCGTGGAAGAAAATGTCGAGGACAGATTGGTGGGAGGCGTTATGTGTCTCGGTGAGAAAGAGCAGAGCTTTCGAGAAAGGTGAAAGAGAAGGATGTCGGATGTGTTACAAGAACGAAAGTTAAATCGACATGCGTGAAATGACGAGAAGAAGCGAGATTCAGAAAATGTTGTTTGTACGTGCAAGTCCGTGACGATTCGACCACTATTTTTCAAGAAACGTTGTACAATTTTTTTGAGATTTTTGTTATTTTATTATATATATATATTTGAAAATATCTAAGTCTATCTATATCTGAAAAAAATATATATGTATATAAATTAAAGTACATTATTGGAATAAAGAGAATAGTTATTTATAGAATCGAATGAAAAATATTAAATAAGACAGAAAGAATTATTTTACTTGATAACCAAGTGATGAAATAATTTAAAGAAAAATCATCTGCTTGTTAAAATCAAGTGAACTAACGCAAAATAACACTGAATTAATTAACATGCTCTATCGTTTAAATAATCACTTCTGAAATATTTTATTCAAATAATGCCCAAGCTTGTTGCATTGTTATCACACTGTGCGAAACAGACGATTTAACTAATCAAACTAACGCGAGATTGAAACTGTTAATTGATGAGATTTTTAGAATTTTTTACTTACTGCATAAAAGCACAATTTACAAATTTATATGTATCTGGGGAAAGATTATAGATTACAAAGGTAATTGTTCTAATGGATAAAAGTTTCTGTATTGTGTTTGATTATTATTCTAAAAAACTGAATTTTTCTGATTACCAGATACTGAATTGAATTTATGAAACGAGAAAAGATATTGTAGGATAAAAGTTTCTGTATTGTGTTTGATTCTTATTCTAAAAAGCTGAATGAACTTTTCTGATTACCAGATACTGAATTGCATTTATGAAGCAAGAAAACATATTGTAGGAATGGTAATTTTGAAAGCTTCAAATTTCCTAAAACAGGAAAAAAAAGCTGAAAGTAATAGCTAAGTTTGTTCCTAAGAAATCTATCACTAAAGAGAACATAGACCAAGAGATTCTTTCTCGATCTCTAGGACTTGTAATTAAAAAAAACAAGTATCTCTCAGATAAATGGCTTGATTTCAAAGTAAATTTCAGACAGGAAATTGCCTTAATCTTTGTATAATATATACGAATAATTTCCAACGTTACAATTACAATTTTTAACCTACAAAGTGATCGAAGCGATATCAAGTTAATATCGGCAAGTACGAATTCAAGCGAGCTGAAAAATTTATAATTAAATAATCGCAAGAGAAGACAAAGATCGAAATCTTTGCGAACTAAGGTGTAAAAGCAAAAGAAAGCAAGCGTTAAATATTTCTTTTCTTTCTCCTGCCTTCGTAAATTAAACGCGAAATTTGTCTGCTGCTTTTTAGTATATAAAACAAAAAACAAAAGAAGAATTCAAAGAAAATCAATTAACAGGAGAAATTCGGAATGAAACGCAGAAAGCTGAACAAACACAAGTGAATCGCAGTTTGTCAAAATTCGTGAATGCAAGATAGATTATAGTATCGTATAATTTCGGAGGGAAAGAGCTCTTAAATAAAGCGTCAAGTGTTCGCGTGCGTTGTCCTGCGGACACAATGCCATTGATGAATCATCCGACGGACCCTCTCCGTCTGATCTATATAGAGTAATTCTACTACCGCGACGTGGCGACGTGATGTGTAGCTCCCTGAATTTACAAACAACACTTCCTTCTGCTTACCCATTGAAGAGAGAAATTTCACAAACTGTGGTTGTAATGTGATTGGCGAACATGAATTATAAGTTCCATGAAAATATTGCATTATGAATGAAATGCAAACAAACTTCAAATTGGAATAAATGGATCAACTAATAATCATTTCTTCTTCTACCAATAATTCGGATTCAATTCGTTTTTATAATAAAAGGATATAAGTCCCAAGTGGGATTTAAATTCCGCAGGAATTTTCAAATTTCAATATTTTAACATCTCGCGAGATGTTAAGTTTAAGTCTGTAAATTTTGATTCTACAAAATCGAACAGTCTGAGTTTACAGAAGTATGATTGTTAAAGATGTAAAATGGTAAGAAGGTGAAAAAGGCGTCGTAACATGAACTTCTGTTTTTATTATTTAATATAAATAAATATTATTAATAATATTAATAATATATAATATTAAATATTAAATATTATCATTAATATATAAATAAATTATCTAATAATAATAATAATATATATAAATAAATTATTTAACAATTATATATATATATATATATATATATTCAATTTCTTACATATATACACACTATATATAATACACCTGGATATTGAAAATAAATTAAAAACAGTTCACGTTTTACAAATTTTGAACAACGTTGGATTTTTTAGATAATTTTCCCTTCCTTTCTCCCTTCTTCCTCCATCAGTGTGAAAAAAGTGGACACAGCAGACCGAATTTCGCAATTACCGAAAATTGCGTCACTTTGCTCGGAGGAAATTCAATATCGCGGTTTCGTTTTTCGTGCGAAGATCGGGCCTTCGAGATTCGGTGGCAAGACAGGGGCAAAAGAGAGGAGGAAAGAAAAGAAAGCAAGGGAACACTGTGTTCGATTACGTGGGAGTGTTACCGTCTGACAACAAACTATGTATTCCCCTGTCTTTCGACACGTAATACCACTTTCAGAAGAATCAGAAGCTCCACTGCCTCCCTGAGAAAGAAATTCCACTGACGTTTCTCTCTCTCTCTTCTTCTTTCTAAAAGAAAAAAAGAAATAAAAAAGAAACAGAATCTGTTAAAATAGAGAAATTGATTGAAAGGAAAAAATCAGAAGCTCCAATGCCTCCCTGAGAAAGAAATTCCACTGACGTTTCTCTCTCTCTCTCTTCTTCTTTCTAAAAGAAAAAAAGAAATAAAAAAGAAACAGAATCTGTTAAAATAGAGAAATTGATTGAAAGGGAAAAAAAGTCAAAGAACCGTTGTCTTAATTGCCAATTTATTTAATTGAAACGTCTACCAATCGTAAGAAACGGGTTGGCCCGATTTCGCTCGATCAACGAAATTACAATTGATCATTATTACTGGTCGCGCATCAAATCAACTCGTCAAGTTATCGAATAACTCCGCTCCCAAAAACCGTGTTGGAAAAACGCTTGCGTCACACTCTCGCCAATGTCACGCTTCGATAGTTGCGAGCTCGAAGGACACGAAACAAGAAGGACGATAATCCCTTTGAATGCGCCTCACTCGTTTAAACGTAGGTGATTGGACAGTGTGTCCGGATGCCGTTGCGTTGAATCCCTTGGAAATCGCGCGAGTTCCAATCGAATCACGAGCTTCGCCGAGCTTGCAAGGCAAATCCATCGCAAACTCGACCGGTAAATGGTGTTGGACCATCGCTTTACATTTCCCCGCTCCAAGCGTCGCAGCTGAGAGTTACGGTCGCACGTCAATTTTTCGATTTGTGAACTGATTGCAGTCCCATAATCTGGGTCTCTCAGTACCAGGAGGTGGGCGTGAAGGAGAGTAAGAACGATCAAGACTCGTGGAACTATGTTCCAGTCTGTCTGACCACGGCCGACACTGGCGCGACCGTGGTGTTCTTCCTGCTTCTGGTCATCCTCTTCTACGTAGCTCCGCTGTTGGTTCTACTGGTGCTGTACACGTTCATCGTTGGACAATTGATGCCGGATTCCGGCAACGACGGCGGCTCTTACCACGCAAGAGCGAAGAAACACGCGATCACGATGTTACTGTCGGTGGTCGTCAGCTTCTTCCTCTGTCTGTCGCCGTACAGGATCCTCATTCTCTACATAGTGATCGCGCCAGTCGAACAAATCACCGCCATCGATCGCGACACGTTCTTCGCCTATCTAAACTTCAGCAGGATCATGTTTTACCTGCACAGCGCCATCGATCCGATATTGTATAATTTGATGAGTAGTAAGTTCAGAAGAGGTTTCTGGGACCTGTGCAGAATGAAGAATCACTCCGGCAGGGAACGTGGCAGGTGCAACGCAGGAGCTAGGAAAATCGATGCCGGCGAACAGGAGGAGAACTTTGTGTGACAATTCTTTACGTAATTTCACGCGACGGCGCTTGTACTTGCGTTTTCAATTAGCGCTAATTGAAGAGTGTGACCTCATTTACGGCATTGTAAATAGCTGTTTATGCAAGTATTCTTCGACGTCGAAGGGGAAATTGTATCGTTAAAATACGAATTTGCGCGCCTTTTTTTTTTATGTTACCGACCGATGGTAATGTTCTAGTTGGTCAATGGTGTAATTGAAACCGTCGACGATTAATTAAAAATAACATTCCATTGCTATTACTGTAATAAATTTGTAAATACATTTGAAAACTAATAATCCTTTAATATATGTACATGTCATACAATTTTAAACATATGTTAATTAAATAACTATAAAATATAAACTTATTATTTATCATATAAATTGTTCCATCTTAAATATTCCCGTTACTTTTAACGACACAAAAGAAGGTACATATATATATATATATATAAATTATGTAATATACATTAAACAATTCCTTCTTTCTTTCTTTAAAATAAACATAAAAAAAGATATCAAAGTAATTAGAATATCGTGAGCCAACTGTTAAAGAGAAAAACGTCTATTTTACAGCCCGATGCTGCTGATGACCACGTACGAAGAAGAAGAGACGAAGGACGGCACGTGCATTCCGACCTGCAACACGGTTGCAAACTCGTTCTGGCCGATCAGCTTCGTCCTGTTCACCATCGTCGTATTCTTCGTGATCCCGCTGTTCATCCTCGTGGTCTTGTACACGGTGATCGCGCGTCATCTAATGACAAACTCGACGATCAGCCGCGGCTCGTCGAACAACTTGCTCAAATACCGGAAGCAGGTGATGCTGATGCTCGGCACAGTGGTGTTCTGTTTCTTCTTGTGTCTGTTGCCGTTTCGAGCGCTGACGCTTTGGATCCTGGTCGTACCGATCAAGGTGATCGTCGACTTTGGCATCGAGCGTTACTTCACCCTGCTCTACTTCTGCCGGGTGATGTTCTACCTGAACTCCGCCATCAATCCAATCCTGTACAATCTGATGTCCACGAAGTTCAGGGAGGGATTCCTCAGGCTCTGCGGCCTCGGGCCCCACAGGAAGAAGAAGAAGAAAACGTCGGAGAAAACTGGCACCTGCACCACTGGCTCGACCAACTGCAGCAGCAATCATTCCGACTTCTGGAGGAGGCACAGCAGCAACAAGAGCAGCAGCGTCAAGACGCCTTCCAACAACGCCGCCGCGGAGAAACAGGTCAAAGTGCCGCTTCAGACGACGGTCGTTAGCGGAAGCGTCGCTAGGAAGAAGCAGGAGAGTTACGTTTGAAAGGATACGGCGAGACTCCAGAGGAGGATCGTTCTATAAGACTGTGATCGTTCGAATCATTCCGCGAGTATAGTCAGAGACAGAGATGCGGTGAAGTCATAAAATCGATCGAGACGATCAGGATTTAACATCTTTCGAAGATTGAAACTATTGAAATCCAGTTCTCTTCTTAAATTATACGTTTCAATGTAATTTTCATTAGTCTACAGATATACACGCATTTCGAGCAATGTTAAGCGACACAATTTCACGAGAGGCACATGTTGCCTACAATTTAATGGTTCTTTAAAGGGATTAGAATTCTTCAAAGTTTTTACAGAATACGAAAAAAAATGATAAAGTTTAAACATAGCAAATAATGGCATATTTATAAGTTAAGAAATGGAAACGAGAATCTAATATGCAATCGGCGACATTGCTTTTGAATTACTTTGTACAAGGCAATAGTCCTAAAAACATAGTTATGATCCAAGTGGCAAATATCGCCGCTTAATTCTTTAATTCGCGACTTCACCGTATATCAGTTCCACTGACTATATTATTTTAGCATCGTTCATACTCGTATGTAGATCACACATATTTTATATGTGACATTCATTTATCTGAATCTAATCTAAAGAAGTTGAAGAGAGACAGTGCAATGATTCATTTAATATTCATAAATATTATTTAGCAGTCTACTTTTACTATTTGTATCTAGCGTGTGTGTGTGTGTGTATGTATGTGTGTGATAGAGAGAAAGAGAGAGAGCTTAGAATGAAAGAGACTTAAAAATGCTTAAAAAAAATTATTCTCTGTATAAAAAATATTAATCTGCATAAGATTATGAACGATAAATTAGGATCGAATTACGGTTGCGCAGAATTTTGGAAGCTGTGATCACGAATTATGTAAATGTGTATCTTGTAAGTATTAGAACAGTTAATTGTATATAGATGGATTAAAGATAAGTTGTACAGTGTAGTAGATGAAATATGATTAATTTCTAAGTACCAAATGGATCTCAGTTTATAGCTTTACTTTAACGTATAAGATTCATCGTTTATTCGAATTGCTTCGTTCAATTCTCAATTTTCATGAATGTTCAAAATAACTGGGCTAAGTTTCTACGGATAAATTTTAAGTTCCTATAGTAGCTCGTCGAACTACGTTAACTGGCGTTGAACAATGAATATATAACGACAACTGTTACAATAATTAGAGATACTTTTAAGATATACACAGACATAGTTATTTTCCATAAAGTGTCGAAGAGATGACGAAACTAGTCTGCAAGCTTTAAATAATTATTTATTCAATTACAGTCACCGCGGAAACATGTACGTCGCTCATAAACGTAGCAATAAATGACGGATTGATTTGTGCGTTAAATCATTCCGATAGTCTTTCAAAAATTGTACAGCGTTTGATTCTTAAATGTATGAAGAACGTTTGTATTTTACTTTTACAGTAGGAATCATTTGTCACAAGAAAAGTATTGAAATATATAGGACCGAGTTGTTTAAGGAGGTTCTCATGCTATGAAAAACTTCGTTTCTCAATTGTCTGCGACAAAAGTTCGCTTTCAGTCGTTTACGAATTATATAACTGATCCTCAGCTGCGCGAGCTAATTCACAAATGGACAAATTTATTTTTATTATGCAAGATGTACGTTTCTGTAAATATTTTGTAAAATAAAGTTCAAATATTATTACCGATCTTTCGAATTGAAATGATAAAACAAATCTTCAAGTCAGAATAATAAAATGACGATAGAACACGAAACGAGGATATTTCGCGTTACGTGTGCCAATACGGTAATGTATCTCGCTTGATCCCGTAGTTTTTTAATTAAATAAGTTACCTAAATAAATACAATAATGAAAGAAAAAAAGCTAACGCGACTGGAGCTGGCTGAGTAAACTTCGTTTCACGAATATTATATCTTTAGCTAAATTATCACGTTTGACGACAAGAGAAAATGCGTGGTAGCCCTTCGATCTCATGAAATTAATCAGCGCCATTTCACCGTCCTTGATGTGGGAGAATTCAACAGAGATTGTCTGAAAATTTCGTAAATGGAAGATTAATCAAGATTCAATCATGAAATAACGAGAAGCGAGATTAAATCGAGTTTCACCTCTATGTTGATCATGTCGAAAGGAATCGTTTTCAATACTTCAAGCTCGTAGCCCTCTATGTCGAGACTGAAATAATTTACGGTGGTCACGTTAAGGGCAGCCATAAAATCTATGAACGGAAAACACTGCACTAATATATGTTCACCACTGTGGGCAACGTCAGGGGAATTCGGTAAATGTCGATCAGGGTCACGTAGGTCGTGAAGACGTCCGATATTTTTCGCCATCAAGAAGGTATCCTAAGCAAGTGTAAAAAAAAAAAAAAAAATTGTACAAGAAATATAAAATATCGTACTATAATCTGTTGCTGTAACCGAATATCTAATATAATATTATGTATATATATATATACAGGGTGTTTCATATTGTGGGACCCACTTCAGGAGCTGATTGCACGCCTAAAAATAATGAAATATGTCATATAAATATATATACTGTCTGTCTTCGTTCATGAGATATAATGAATTTTATAAACAGAGCAAACTCTAGTAAGCTAGTTTTACCAGGGATGGTATATTCAATTTTCATAATAATCATAATT